TTCAGCTATCTTAGTCAAGTATCTGTGGTCTATGTGTCTAAATAGAAGATAAGCTTCTTTCCCAAAACTGTCCTCTGAAAACAAGGCGTCACCTTATATTTGAGTTATGTCAAAGCCTCTCTGAACAACAGAGACTGGGAAAGTCACCGGAAATAACCTGAACACATGTAGTTTTGAATGCAAAGAAAGAGTCCACCTGACAAAGGCAGTGGAAAGGGAAGCAAAGAAACATATTGCAGATTTTGTTCTTATTCCTGGTGAGATACATGGCCTCACAATTTCTAGTGTTGGAAATTAATGTAAACAAGACATTTAAAGATAACTTTATAAAGTAATAGTGTTTAAGTTTGCCAAAAATGCACAACCTGAATTTAATCATGAGGGAACATCCAACCAACCCAAATCAACTGACATTTCTACAAAATAACTGGTCCGTACTCTTTAAAACTGTACAAGAAACGAAGAAAGACTCAGGAACTGTCTCAGATTAAAGGAGACTGAGGAGTTGTTGACAACTGGATGCTTCGTGATTCTGGATCGGATCCTACACAGGAAAGTAACATCAGTGCTTCTTTTGAAGGGATTCTCCGTTACTTCAATTAGTTTGGTCTCCAACAAAACCCTAGAAATCCCTTAGTTATAGTGAAAACAATCTCTATGAAGCAAAGTGTGATACTTCCTAAAGATATTTTTTTGGGGTCAGAATATTAGCACACATGGTCTTGAAAGTCAGCATGCATATTTTACACCCCAAAATCTTTATAATTTTACAAGTATAATTTGTTTTTAAAAATATCTTTAAAAACTTATTTTGTTCTTTAAAAATATATTTTCTAATATAAGGTTGATATATTTGACTTTATCATCTTTGCTGTTTCCTGGCTGTTTCAAGGGTATATTGAAAGGGAGAGTCAGTGTCTTAACTCAGCCATAGATATAGAAGCGTATTTTTCTAATGGATGCTCATATCTTAAATATCAGCCATGATTATAATACATGACAAATAGAATGATAATAACCCCATCTTCACGTATCAGGCCTTTCAACATAAATGAGATCACATGCCTATTTTGCTTGATCACTGGCAAAGCTGGTGTGAGCACATCGCTTACAGTGCATTTTGCTTCCACAACATGGACGATAAAAAGCACCCAAAGTATGTGAACCAAACATTCCAAACAATTGGCACGGGACTGAATCATTAAAAAAGAACTGCACGATGATTAAAACTGTAAAACTTCAGCACATTCACAATGGTCAACGCAATCACATTCTACGTAGGTCCACTCTTGGCAGGGCTTACGAGCATGAACGCCAGAAAACATTATTCTTTTTCCAGACATTCACTGCATATTCAAAAGTCGGATAGTGTTGAGTCTTAAAAATCTCTTGGCTGTGGGTTTTAGCAATAAATTAGTGGGAAAAAAATTGAGCTGGATAAGCTAAAACTATTCAGCTGTTTTAGCCACACACGTAATCCTAAGAGCCGTCAAATTCTAGAATTTCAGGAGATATTCCAGAACATAAGCTCCCTCTGCAGCACTTCAGCCGGCACCCCCGGCACCCCCGTCTACCACCAGCCCAAGAAATGGTGCTGTGGGTCCCTGGGACCCTGCGCTGACACTAGGGTGTTTCCTTTGAAGTCATGCCAGCTCCTGCGGCCACACTGGCTGCAGAGGGGCCTCCCACCCTCCCACTGAGCTGGGCAGCGGCCAAGGATGGCCCACTCCCTGAGCTAGGGTGCAGGACCAGATGCACTCACGCCTCCTCCTCCTCTTTCGTTGATGCCACTCCTCAGGCAATTCAAACTGACCAGGACACTGTTAACTCCTTTAAAATATATGTCTAGTTACTGGTTTTGGTCCAAGCAGATCTATTTGTTTTTTTATTAAGAAACATATGTTTATTATTTTTTTAATTAATCCTCACCCAAGGATATTTTTTTCCATGGATTTTTAGAGATAGTGGAAAGGAGGGAGGCAGGGGATGGGGGAGAGAGAGAGAGAGAAACATTGCTGAGAGAGAGACACAGTGATTGGTTGCCTCCTGCACAACCCCACCGGGTCTGGGGATCCAACCTGCAACCCTTTGGTCCCAGGCCTGAGCCAAACCAGCCAGGGCAAGAAACATGTGTTTATTAAAGAAAGAACTGAATATAAAGAGAAGACATAATACCCATGGTTAAACCTTCTAAAGTCCTACTGTAGTATTTTGCTATAGTTACATTCTGACTTATTTTACTCAAAGGTTTTTTCTATCATTATAACATTACTGTATATTCATATTTTACCTAACACTATATATATCATAAGCAGCTTTCTAGGTCAACAGTCTTTTAAACAAAAAACTTGAATAGTACAAGTAACTATAACTTGTTTTACTTTACTGCTTCCTTGTCATTGAACTTGTTGATTTATTTTAAAATTATTATTCTCCGAGGATCTACTATATTCAAGTCACTGGATTAAATATTATAAGTACCACACATATATGAATAAATGACTACTCCCAGGATGCTCTTCAAAACTACAAAAGATGCAAACATATACATGCAACATATTATATATGCATGTGTACACTTGCTATGTGTCTTTAAACCACTTAATTCTTTTAAAATATGCTTATAAGATCAAAATATTCTAATTTCCTTTTCATGTATTCCTTTTATTGCTAATTTCTGCTCTCCTTGTCTGCTAATTTTGCCTTAGTATGACTGATCAGAAAATCTTTAAAGTAACTACAAAAGAAATTCTGAACGACATTAAATATTTTAGCTTAAAAACATACCCCAAATATTAACTACACTGTGTTTGAGACAAAATTGCTATATATATAGTATTGGGCTGGTCACCTGAAAAAGGTAATAATTTGTTGTGGTTTTCTTTGGGTGGTGGAACCAAGAGAAAGGAGGAGACGTCTGGAAACAGAGGTCTTAGAGCCACGGAGACAGATATAAATCTTCCTTTCAACCCTATCTAGCTGTGTGATCTTTGGCATTTTTCTTAAATGTCGCTGTAATGCAGTTTTGTACAAAGGAGCTAATATTTACCTTGCAGGGTAGATGTAGAGATGCCCGAAAAATCTATGTAAGGGCTAAGCATGTACCTGGATACAAAAGACACTGACTAGGTTTATGTCTACAATGAGCATATAGTTTATCTTTAAGAGACAAACAGAACTGTATACAGAAAAAATTTAAAGACAAAAGTTCATTGACTTGGCTTTACTGCTACAAGTGAATTTTAATTTATTACTCATTTCCCAGTGAAGGGTCTAAGTCTTGAAAATTTAAGAATCTAGAAATGTGGAGAATGGCGCCCTGAGGTCGACCATGACCACCTTGTAACTAGCCCTACTATGTGGTTAACCCCATGCTTTCCCTCCTTTCTGAATGTTCGTGAATATGCATCAAAGGTGGTGGAGTCAGTTCCCAGTGTGGGAAAGCCACATTCGTTCTCCAGTCCTGCGCGGGGAGACTCGCTCCCCTTTCTAGGCTTCTCACCTTTGTCTCTGATTTGAGAGGTGAGCAAATGATTTCTCTGCTATTGTCAGCAGGTGGAATTACCTGCGTATTTGGGGGGAAAGTAGATGTTCCCCCAGACACACAGGTGTGGAAAAGCAGTTTCAGGCCTGGGAACACCGCTCACATTTTACACTGGAGCTCTGACAGTCTTCTCTGAACCTGAACAAGGTTCCTGGCTAACATCAGAATCAATTCAGGTTCAATTACCAGAGGTAAGTGAACAGTAAGTGTTCCCAGGGGCCTTATGCATGCCTGGAATTCTCATTTCCTATTTGAGTCAAACTGGAGTTAAAACAGTGCAAATAATTATATGAAATCAACCATCTTTACTCTGTCCAGTAATTCAACCATCATCATAATAAACATCATATTCTCAGAACTAAATGATCTTAGATTTTCTCCCCCCAGATGGAGCCTAGATGAGTTTAGACCTCTGAATGGACCCAGGGCTGGTCTGCACCTCCACCGGGAGAGACACCAGGGGTGCGGAAACAAGTCTGGGCTGACTGTAACCACAGCCTCAAAATCTGTGTGTTTTTGAAATTGCCTATGGAACGAGCAGGCGGAAAAGATTTTACCTAAAACCTCTATCATTTGTGGAGTTGTCTACATAGCGAATTTCAGAAAATTTCTAAACTCAAAAGAACCTGTATGTAACATTTTTGTCTTTGTTTTCAACCTGTCAAACTCAGGCCCTTTCCTTGGCTGTCGGGTCACTGTTATGGTAATTTCAGATGCCAATGTGCTAACAGCACACAACAAAGCACAGAAAGCTGATTTTGAAAAGGTTATTTTGGAAACTGTCCTGTGAACTTGCTGTTCCCTTAGCCAAAAAAAAACCTCTCACCCCAGACATAGGTGCAAGGCCCATTTCTCACTTCACCTGGGTCTCTGCTCAAATGCCCCCCTGTTGGAGAAGCCTTTCTGACCATCCCATTAGAAGCAGCACAAACAACTCAAAAACAGGCCCCATCTCACTTTAGGATGTTTTATTTTTCTTATTGTCATTTTTCTTTCTCAATACCTCTCACAGTATAGATGCGTTTGTTTATTTTCCATCCTCCTCTCCCCACCAATGTGAGCTCCATGAAGGAGGAACTCTGCTTTTTCACCGCTATATCCCAGTTCCTCACAGGGTTCCTGAGCTCATGATCACTATTCAGTAACTATTTGTCCCAAGAATGAATGGACTGTAGATGTTTTAGTCAAGTGCCATATATCTCCAATTCTCCTCCCAGCAAGACATAAACTCAACAAAGCTCCTGGGTACGCACACCAGGATAACACTGACGTCTGCTTAGATGTCTTTGTTGTAGCTTATGAAGCAAATGGACCTCATGAGCTCCCCGAAGAGTTTACAAAATGCAATTGTCTCTTCTCATGTTTCCCAGGCTATTTTACTAAGGAACAGACAATTTTCCCTCCCCCCAACTACAAGTGTTTTCATGTACACAGAAACCTAGGTCTCTTTTCTTACCATACTGATCAGAATTGCTGGTGAAGAGAAGGTAGTCAGAAGCACAGGTCTGGGACTCAATATCCAAATCTCCTAACCTCAGAATCAATCTCTTCCCCTTTGGTACTGTGATTGTCTTTTCACAACTAGTGTGATTGGGGTAAGTCCTTGGATAATTCTTAGATGCCATGGTGCCACTGTCCAGATAGGTCACTATGTGCCCACAGCCATCACCTGCAAAAGAAAAAAGCACTTAAGATGTGAAATTAATTCTTACTGAGAATTGAGAGTCCAGTACAATTTCCAAGTCATGAATTTCAGTCCTTCTTCAAAAAATAAAAATAAGAAATAAGATTAAATTATTAAACAGTATGTATTGTTTCAGGTTATTTCATCTCATTTCCAACTTTAATCTTCTGAACACTGTCAATCAAAGGGTTTCATATATTAGAATGGAAAGCCATTGGCAAACACATCATTTAATAATTTTATTTTTTCTAATCGTCTATCTATCTACCCATCCAAACTTGCATAGTGGGCCCTTGGCATTCACAGATTTGCCATTTGTGGTTTTGTCTATTAGCAAGCCAACGTCATGTAAAAATCTGCAATGGAGAAAATAATATTACCCACTTCACAGAGGTATGTGCTGATTAAATGAGATAATCTTTGCAAAATCTAGGTCGCTGATAGAATCTGAGACTCAGGTCGAGAGGACTTTAAGAGCCTGTTATTTAGCTGTGAACTAGCAATCATTCAACATTCATATCTCATTAGTGACAGTCATAGATCTGAGGGTTTTGATGGACTCATTGCATCATTAGAGAAAGCCAAGCATCTCCTGTACTGAGTGCTTGCCACACACCAGACCTGGTGCATTTGGAGACACAAAAACCTGCAGTGGCTGCATCATGAAACAGAGTAAAATGGGAGATAGTCACATGTCCAAATAACTATAATGCTAGATGCTATGTGCCTTATCAGGGGCTTAAGCAAAGTGCTGAGGCAGGCAAGAAAGACTCTCTTTTAGGGGATCATCACTAGTGCACTAAAACAACAAATTTTCTTAAGACTTCTCTGAATAGAAAAGGTCATCAACTGACCAAGAAGTTGCCCCAGTAGATTAAAGTGACCAAGTTAATCCTTCAAACATCTAATGTCATGCACAAGTGGGTGGAATGTAGGGCAAATGAGCATACATTGCATTCATATTGCAAAATGCCTGTAGTTAGTATGGTCTCACATAAAAAAAATAAAAAATAAAAAAATGCCTACCCTTAGCTGGAGGAAAAGAAAACAGAAAGCATTTGGAGAAGGAACTGTCAGGTAGTAAAATAAGGTGTCTCCAGAGCAGCTCCAACTAGGGCGTACTGGGCAGCTAAAGACCAAGGCACCGTCTTCCTTCTGCGGCCTCTTCCCTGAGCTAGAGGACTTGCCTGTGGGCATCCTTTATTCTACCTCCTTCTTGAAGCTCAAATAATGGAGGTCTAGTTTTAAAAAAAAATGTCTGGGGGGGAAGGCAGGGGACTCCAGACTCTACCCTATTTCAGCAGACAAGGTATAGGGAAAAGGATCTACCCGTCATCCAGAAATTCCCACAAGATTCTGGGCAGCTCTGGCCAGGAGGTGGCATTGGGAGAGAGCTGACCTTCAGAAGATGGGGTTAGAGAACACAAGGGAAATGTAGATGGACAGCTAAGATAAAACTACTCTGCAACCTGGAGAACTAGGCAGAAGTTGTGGAATTTATACTGTAGGCAACAGGGACTCATAGAAGTTTTTGAGAAGAGACATATTGAAAGAGGTATTTGAAAAGGTGGATCAACCTGGTTGGGTACTGACAGGAACTAGAACACAGGCAGCATCTGGGTCAGAGGAGCTGTAGGAGGGCTAGAAATGAGCTACCTAAAAGGGGAAGAAAGGGGGAAACCCAGAAAGTGCACAAGAAAAATCTCAACAGACTCAGAGTTTCACTAATCATAATAGGAAAGACAAGAGGAGAAATAAACACAATTTTGAGTCCAGAAATTATTGAAACACGAGGCTACTATGGACAGAAAGGGAAGCCCAGAGGGCAAGCAGGTTTGGGGCAAAGGCTGTGAATTTGTTGGTTAAATCTGAGGGGACGGTCCCTTCTCTTGGGCCCTCCGGCAGTAAATCCAGGCCCGCTGAGAATAAGTGAAAATCATACTGGAGTGAAGCACATAACGCACAGGATTTTAATGTAAAATTTGAATTATTTGCCTACTTTTAAAGGCTTCAATTTTTTTTTTTTTTTTTAAATCTAATTTACAGTTTCTTTTGAAAACTGGAAGATACGGTAACCATATCCATACACACTCCCACAGGGATAGTGGTACGGTGGCTGTCCCTGTAAAAGAGACAAACGCCATGCCCTGGCAGGTGTCTCAGTTGGTTGGACATCATCCAATGCACCAGTGTTGCCCCTCAAGGTCAAGGGCACATGCCTGGGAGGCAGGCTTGATCCCTAGTGGTGAGAGGGGGCGGCATGAGGAGCCCCAGTGAGGAAGGGGGGGGGGCAATCGGGAGGCAGCCTATTGATCAATGAATTGATGTTTCTCTCTCTCCCCATCTCCCTTCCTCTCTCTCTAAAAATCTATAATAATTAAAAACAAAACAACTAAAAAGACAAACACCCTAGCTCCCCACCAGGTCCTGGACACTCATTTTTACATTGTCCCCCTTTGGAGGCATTAATTTTGAGCACTTTGAGAGAGCAACACTGGATAACTAGTGTACAAACAAATGAGTGAACATATAAATATGCACATAACTAACTCTCTCTAAGCTACCACTATATCACCTGGTAAACATTTAAATGCCTGTGTGTATTTTTTGACTACCATGAAATTCTGCTTTAACAAGAGCAAGTGAAAACTTTTTCTAGAAAACACAGCTAAATATAAAACGAGGAGTGATTATATGTGAATTACCCTACACATGATTACTGTATTCTAATTTTAAGTGACATGTCATGACAAAGGAAAATCCCTGGCTGTCACTTTTATTCAACCCTGTAATTATATTCCTTTCCAATCACTTCTCTTCTAAAGCTCAAGAGGAAACTCATTTCACCCCGTGAAACAGGCAGAATGTGAGCAGGTTTAAAGCTTCAACTCACCCAGCACTGCTTTGCGTGGGCATATGTGACCCCTTGGAAAACTTTCCCTTCTCTCTAACTATCAAAGTAAAATTCTATGCATCTTTGTTCTGCCCAAAAAAACCCTGAAAGAAACCGCAGTGTCCTGATTTATTAAAAATCAAACTGTCATCCAAAGTTACCACTTCACTCTTGCCTGTGAGTACACTATTGATGGGGTTTTCTGTGGCACTAATATGACCAATTTATTCCAAGGGTATTAACCACATCAGGAATTTTCACCCTATTGTTCTTCCACAGTTGCAATGACTTCCAAGAACTAGATATAGTTCACAATGTATTAATTTTGAAAGCTTCTAATAGACTACATCTTAAATGTTCTCACTACAAACAAGAAGTGATAATTAGGTGAGGTGATGAAGGTGCTAGCTGACTCTATGGCGGTAATAATTTCACAATATATAAATGTTTCAAATCAACACATTGTAGACTAAACTTACACAACGCCATATGTCTGTTCTATCTCAATAAAGCATGGAGCGGTGGCAGGGGCGGGGGTGGGAGGCTGCTGGGATGTGGGGAATGGAAAACAGTGAGAGAGAGAAATGCCTGTGGTATCACAGTAAGGCGGATTCATGCAAACGAAAAACAAGAGAGAAGCACCTTGGCCACAATCTCACCCTAACACTCAGGTAGCTTAACTCCCTTAGCCTGACTCGATTCAGTTCATGTTCCAGAGTTTGTGTATTAATGTGAATATCTCAGTTGTGATATTACACTAAAGTTTTACAAGATGTTTTCACTGGGTAAAACTAGGTAATGAGTACATAGCATCTCTCTGTATTACAACTTCATGTGATCTACAATTATCTCAGAATAAAAAAAAATCATTTAAAAAATCTGTCAGTATGGTTAAGTTTGGCAGAGGGTAAAATGACAGGGCTTTTATTTTCTATTTTATACATTTCTATTCTTTGTATCATGGTATCCTGTATGTTTTCTATTTAAACTATTAGTATTATTATTAGTAGTAGGATGTTATTATTATTAATCCTCACCCGAGGATATGTTTATTGATTTTACAAGAGAGGAAGGGAAGGAGGGAGATAGAGAGAGAGGGAGAGACATCAATGTAAGAGGGAAATATTGATGGGCTGTCTCCCATTCACATGCTGACCAGGGATTGACCAGGAATCAAACCTGAAACCTAAATATGTGGCCAGACTGGGAATTGAACCGAAACTTTTCAGTTCAGGGATGATGCTCCAACCAACTGAGCTACACTGGCCAGTGCTATTTAAATTGAATATTTATGAAAATTTGCACTGAAAGATAGAGCTAGAAGATGACAACCAATAAAGAAAGCCACTGTTATTCTAAAATCTCTGCTCCAAACCTATTGTCCACATTTCTCATGTTTGTCTAAAAGGAGCACAGGACTTTGAATCTGCAGGGACTTCATAATATATGCCCCAGTTTACAGCTGAGAAGACAAATGTATGTGGACGTTCGTGAGACTACTCAACTGATGGTGGGTCCCAGACTACATTTCCCAGATGTTCTAGCAATGGCTATGGAATTTTAAAAGCTTTTAGTCTCACCTCTTTATTTAATTTCCTAACACATGTGTATTTGTGTTTAATCTTGGAAAAACACCCAAACTGCTGCCCTACCGAATCTCCCTTTAGATTCTTTCATAACATCTTGCTATGAAAATGAACAGCTCTCTACAACTGCCTCTGGCGATGGTCTACACAGATGGAAAACCACTGGGCAGAACATTGAGGAAGAAATTTGAAATGAAAGTATCAGGTGTGTCACCATCTTAACTCACTGATGGATCTCACCATAACTACAAGCGAGACAGATGGTATGTGTCTCCCAATAGGCAAAATGTGCTCTGTGCACCAACATGTATGAAGTGCTATTGCCAAAAGCAAAACATATGAGTAAATAATTGACTCTGAATCTCATTGATCCTCTAGGTCCATCTTCCTTCTACAGGAAATGCAGGGGGTAGAGGCACAAGTTTATTGACACCACGAGGAAGTTACTAGCCAAGTTCAGGCTGTGACATTCTAGGTGCAAGTGACTCAGTTTCTTCAACAATAAA